GCACGACACCCCAGCAGCACGACCCCAGCACGACCCCCACAGCACGACCACACCCCGACCACCCCCAGCACGACCACCCCCCAGCACGACCACACCCCAGCACGACCCCACCCCAGCACGACCACACCCCAGCACGACCACACCCCAGCACGACCACGCCCCAGCACGACCACTCCCCAGCACGCCCACTCCCCAGCACGACCACACCCCAGCACGACCACCCCCCAGCACGACCACCCCCCAGCACGACCACACCCCAGCACGACCATTCCCCAGCACGACCACACCCCAGCACGACCACACCCCAGCACGACCACACCCAGTCGCACCCCCGTGGAATGTTTCGTGGGGTGTCTGGTTGATTGGTTGCCTGTTCGTGGGTTGTCTCATGGAATGTTTCACGGGGTGTCTCGTGGAATGTGTCGTGAGGTGTCTCGTGGAATGTTTCGTGAGGTGTCTCGTGGGATGTTTCGCGGGATGTCTCGTGGGATGTTCGTGAGGTGTCGCCCAGCTGGGCATCGTGAAAACGTGACCATGCTGCACATATCTATATCCCTTTCCGGGTTCGTGGGTCCATCATATGTTTTCAGGAAAGGGCGGGGGCCCATGGTTTTTCCTAAGACAGGCGCGGGCCCAGGGTTCTGTTTTAGAGGTTTACCATCGGTTTTGATTTGAAGGGGGCTGGCAGAATTATTATCGATAAAAAACGAGGTAAAGTCCAATTCGGCGTGAAAGAAATGCGTTTCGCGCGTGCCCGCTCAGGGAACTTCGACCCCCCATCTCGGATCCGCGATAAATAACGGGATCCGCGGACCACCGTTTTCCTTTGTAAAAAAGGGTGCGGTGCCCTTTTAGTAGAATTTGCAAAAGAATACGAGGTCTGGAGCCCCGACCGCGACGCGGAAAAGCGCCCCGCGCGCAGGAATTCCGTGGATGTCTCGCGCGTGCCGCGTCCCGCGCGCAGGAATTTCGAGGATGTCTCGATTAGTTCGCTTGTTTTGCCAGGATGTCTTTGAATTGTGGCAGGATGTCTCGAGCGAAATGATGTTTGTTTTTTTCATCATTTGTGGAGGATATCTCGAGCGAAACGCTGGTTTTGCAAACTTAGGGGATGTCTCGAGCGGGAGCCTCGTGGTGGCCCAGAATTCACAGGATGTCTCAGGCGAAATGCTTGGTTCCACGTCCCGCGCGTAGGACTTCTGAGGATGTCTCGCGCGTGCCGCGTCCCGCGCGCATGAATTTCGAGGATGTCTCGATGAGTTCGCTTGTTTTGTCTGGATGTCTTAGGATTCTGGCAGGATGTCTCGAGCGAAATGTTTGTTTTCATTCATTGTCGAGGATGTCTCCAGCGAAACGCTGGTTTTGCAAAATTGGGGGATGTCTCGAGCGGGAGCCTCGTTGGGGAGGGCAGAATTCCGAGGATGCCTCACGCGAAATGCTTGTTTTCACGTCCCGCTCGCAGGAATTCCGAGGATGTCTCGCGCGTGCCGCGTCCCGCGCGCGGGAATTTTGAGGATACCTTGACTAATTCGCTTGTTTTGCCATGATTTTCTGGATTTTGGAAGGATGTCTCGAGCGAAACGCTTGCCCCCAGCACGTTCCGTAGCGCGTCCCCTTGGCACGTCCCGCGGTGCGTCCCCATGGCACGTCCCTCGGCACGTCGCTTGGCGCGTCCCTTGAGACGTTCCGCGTCGCGTCCTCCTGGCATGTCCCCCTGTCAATTAGCTCTGGGCAGCTACTATGTGTTCAGGCAGCTCGAATTTAAGATCCAGATCAGTTCGGTCAGGACTCGGATGCAAAGGAGGACTCGATCCACGAGGCTATAGAGCACAATCGCGGCATGGCACATCGCAATTCAGCACGGCGCAGCACAGCACATATTTCGGCACGGTACATCAAGATCGATACACTCAGCATTGCAACTTGGCACGTTCCTTGGCACGTTCCGTGGGGCGTCCCTTGGCGAGTCCCCCTGGCACGTCGCGTGGCGCGTCCCCTGGCACATCCCGTGGCACATCCATTGGCACCTTCCGTAGCGCGTCCCCTTGGCACGTCCCGCGGTGCGACCCCATGGCACGTCCCCTGGTACGTCGCCTGGCGCATCCCGTGGGACGTTTCGCGGCGCGTCCTCCTGGCATGCCCCCCTGTCAATTAGCTCTGGGCAGCTACTATGTGTTCAGGCAGCTCGAATTTAAGATCCAGATCAGTTCGGTCAGGACTCGGATGCAAAGGAGGACTCGATCCTCGACGCTATAGAACACAATCGCGGCATGGCACATCGCAATTCAGCACGGCGCAGCACAGCACATATTTCGGCATGGTACATCAAGATCGATACACTCAGCATTGCATTCGCCCGTCACCCAATCAGGTGTCTTTGAGAACGCTGCCATGTGTTACAGTTCTACATTTCTTTCCGGGTTCGTGGGTCGATCATGTCTTTTAGAGGTTTACCCTCGGAATCGACTTGAAGGCGGCCGGCGGAATCATTTTGCTATAAATGACGAGTTTGAAGGAGGCCGGCGGAATTAGTATCTCGAGCGAAACGCTTGTTTTGTGATATGTATTGTCCTCTCCTGGGGACCTGAATTCAGAGGATCTCTCAAATGAAATGCTTGTTTTCACGTGCCCAGGTCTTGAGGACATCTCGAGCGAGACGCTTGGTTTCACGCCTCCAGGTTGCCCAGATAGATGTCTAGCATGAGGATTTGTTGAGGATGTCTCGAACCAGAGGCTTGTTTTTCACGTGTCCAGGTCGCCCAGGCGGATGTCTAACATGAGGATTTGTCGAGGAAGTCTCGATCGAGACGCTTGTTTGCACGTGTCCAGGCTGCACAGGCGGATGTCTAGCATGAGGATGTGTTGAGAACGTCTTGAGCGAAACGCGTGTTTTCACGTGTCCAGGTCGCCCAGGCACAGCACAGCCCTCGGCACGGTACATCAATATCGATACCCTTAGCATTGCAGCCTGGCATGTTGCCTGGCACGTTCCGCGGAGCGTCCCGTCGCGAGTCCCCCTGGCACGTCGCGCGGTGCACGTCCATTGGCACGTTGCGTAGCGCGTCCCCTTGGCACGTCCCGCGGTGCGTGCCCATGGCACGTCCCCTGGCACGTCGCCTGGCGCGTCCCTTGAGACGTTCCGCGGCGCGTCCTCCTGGCATGTTTCCTGTCGATTAGTTTTGGGGCAGCTAACATCTGCTCAGGCAGCTCGAGCTTAAGATCCAGATCAGTTCGGTCAGGACTGGCATGCAAAGAGGACTCGATCCACAACGCTATATATAGAGAACCACCGCGGCATGGCACATCGCAATTCAGCACGGCCCAGCACAGCACAGCCGTCGGCACGGTACATCAAGATCGATATACTCAACATTGCACCTTGGCACGTTCCTTGGCGCCTTCCGTGGCGAGTCCACCTGGCACGTCGCGCGGCGCGTCCCCTGACACGTCCCGCGGCTCGTCCATTGGCACGTTCCGTAGCGCGTCCCCTAGGCACGTACCGCGGTGCGTGCCCATGGCGCGTTCCCTGGCACGTCGCCTGGCGCGTCCCTTGGGACGGGTGCGGCGCGTCCTCCTGGCATGTTTCTTGTCGATTAGTTTTGGGGCAGCTACCATCTGCTCAGGCAGCTCGAGCTTAAGATCCAGATCAGTTCGGTCAGGACTCGGATGCCAGGGAGGACTCGATCCACAACGCTATAGATATAGAGAGAGCACAAACGCGGCATGGCACATCGCAGTTCAGCACGGCGTAGCACAGCACAGCCCTCGGCACAGTACGTCAGGATCGATACATTAAGCATTGAATTTGCCCGTCGCCCAATCAGGTGTCTTTGAAACGTTGCCATGCGTTACATTTCTATATTCCTTTCTGGGTTCGTGGGTCGATCATGTTTGACCCTGACCCTGCCGATCTGCGTGAGGGGCGCCACCGAATTTCAAAAATGTGGCAACTCCCCTGTGTTTTTGCACCCTGATCCCGCCGATCTGCTCTGAATTGCTGGGGTGGGTTAAAATTTACACCCCTCAGGCAGATCGGCGGGGTCAGGGTGCAAAAACACAGGGGAGTTGCCACATTTCTGAAATACGTTTTGGCCGTGGTAAAAATGCCAGTTATGGGCCTCCCCCCCTCGCGCGGTCCATCAACAAGAAACAGTAAGCAGCAAGAAGCAGACAGTGAGCAGCAAGAAGCAGAACTGGAACAGCGGAAGCTGGAAGCTGCAACTGGCACAGGCAACTGCGAAGCTTCGTCCTGCAGCCTGGTGGCCCCACAAGGGGGGGCGGGCGGATTCGTGTGTCCCGGGGCCCCTTCACCGGCACTCGAAGAAGAACAAAGCGCCACACACGCAGACTTCTGGCGCTCCGCGCGGGCTCCTTGGATCCGCACGGACCCCCCCCCCCCTGGCGGCGCTCGGCGCGCCTGGGAAGGGGGGTCCGGCGCAGAGCCAAGAAGTCCGCGCGAAGCGCCAGCAGTTTATGTTTTTGGCATTTTTCTCATCTTCGTAGCAGGATCTTGGGCCCCCCAGTTCGGCCCGAGGCGTCCCATCAGCCGTCGAGAACGCCCTGGTCGGACTAGACCTTCTCGCCGTTCCCGCCTCATATGAGCCCAGCAACGTGTGGTTCCAGCTTCTTCGGCCTTCGACGACCGCGTTGGCGCTCGCCCATCGCTGCTGACCAGCAGTTCCAGCGTCCTGGTGTAGGTTCGCGTCTTTGCAGATCTGGGCCCCTCCTGCTCCCTCCTCCTCTTCCTCCTCCTTCTGCTGCTGCTCCTGCTGCTGCTCCTCCTCCTCCTCCTCCTGCTCCTCCTTCTCCTCCTGCTGCTGCTCCTCCTCCTCCTCCTTCCCCTACTCCTCCTCTTCCTCCTCCTCGTTTATCCTCATCATCCTCATCCTCATCATCCTCGCCCGTTTCCTCCAGAAAGCCACCTCTGCCTCTCGAGCCGAGAGTGGCCGCGGCCACCCTTCACATTCGGCGCCCCCGGGGCGATCGCTGGGCTGCCGGAGCGATGCCCGACATCTGGCTGGAGAAGTACAGGCCCAGCGCCTCGGAGGAGGAAAAGGTCCCCCTACCGCTGCTCCACTTCTCTCGCCTTCGGCCTTCGCCTCTCCGGGTCCCCCCACCCAGGCTTTTTGTTCCGACCAAGGCTCCGAGGCGACTCCAGCTGTGGCGACGAGGGCCCCGCGGGAGGCCCCAAAAGGCGAAGTCGAGGGAAGGGAATCCCAGGGGCAACGTCAGGGGGGGGAATCTCTTGGGGGGGAATGCACTGACACCGAATGGCCCCCTCACCAAGGGGGGCCTGACTGCCCCTCCTGCAGGGTCAGGCGTGCGGGTTCGCCAACGGGTGCCTATGGCCGATCTATCGGCGAGGCTTCGCCGACTGCGGGTCCATGTCTCCGCTCCTGAGCTGGAACCCCTTTCTTGCGTTGCACCCTCGGGGGGCCTCCCCTGTCCCCAACAGTGGTGTCTCGTCTCGTGCCCGACGCGAGCCCGATGCGGACTCGGTGCGGGCCTGGCATGGATTCGGCGCGGACTCGGCGCGGTCTCGGCGCGGACTCGGCGCGGATTCGACGCGGACAGGGGCGCGACGGGATGGACAAGGCCTCCCGAAGATGCAAGGTAACCCTCCCCCTCCTCACTCTGTAGATCGGGCAAGGAGGATGAGGATGAGGAGCAGGAGGAGCAGCAGGAGGAGCAGCAGCAGCAGCAGGAGGAGGAGGAGGAGGAGGAGGAGGAGGAGGAGGAGGAGGAGGAGGAGCAGCTGCAGGAGCAGCAGCAGGAGGAGCAGCAGGAGGAGGATCGACAGCGGTGCGCCCCCCGCGCCTGCGAAGTCGACCTCCCCTGGAGGAGGCGCCCCGAGGCCGGCCCCTCCCGCCGCCGAGCGCCCGAGGCCCACCGTCTTCGAGGACGTCGTCGGCAACGCCGGCGCGGTGGGCGTGCTCCGCTCGCACGCTGCCGGAGGAGTGCCCTGCCAGGGGGGGTGCCGGGCGCCCGCGGCCGGGGGCAGCGATAGAGGTTCGGGCGCCCGCGGCCGGGGGCAGCGGAGAGGAGGAGGAGGAGGAGGAGGAGGAGGACCCCCTCGCCCTCCAACTTCTGGTGGTGGTGGTGGAAGACAGGCCCATTATCACGAGGCCTGAGACCGTCAAGAGGACGACTCCGTGGATGAACGAAGCCGGCCTCCGGGAAGGGGTCGGCCAGACCTCTGGGCGATCGCGGGCACGAAGAAAGGGGGCGTGGAGTGGCGACGGGTCCCGTGTCCACGGGGAGTCGCGGAGGTCCGCCGCCGGAAGAGGCGGCACACGGGCCGCACGTCGGGGGCGCCGAGTCCATGGATCGCTGAGCCATGCTTGCGCGCCCCGGAGAGGAGGTCTGGGTAGATGGGGTCCGAGCAGACGGGGTCGGAGGATCGCGCCGCATCGCCGATGCATCGCCGATGCGGCTCGATGTAGGGGCGATGCGGCGCGATCCTCCGACCCCATCTTCTCGGAACCCATTTGGGAGGCCTCCAAAAAGGTATCCTTGCCTCTACCCTCCCCTCGTTTTCCCCTTTTTGGGCTCTGAGAGGCCCTCGTCGCCACCGTTGGATTCGCTTCGAAATTTTGGCCAGAAGGCACCCCAGGAGAGGTCTGGGGAGGAGCGGTATCGGTACCTTTTGGTTTCCCTAAGATAGGCGCCACCGATCGTGGGCAGCGATCGATGGAGCGTTCCAAAATTGCCTCGCCTTCGAGGTTTCGAAGGAGTTGTCATCTCTTCCGCCGGCGGAAGGCGGCGGACGGTCGGCGGAAGTAAAACGAGGGCGCCTCCGCCGGCGGAAGCTCGGCGGAAGGCGGCGGAAGTAAAAAGCTGTCGTCCAAGAGATGAGCACGTTTTTGGGTTCAGGATTTCCGAATTCACCCAGATAAGCTCAGGACGTCGGTATCGTTTGACCAATCCCCATCCCCATCCCCATGCCCTTCGAGACCGCCACCAAATTACTACCCCAGTTGGGGATACACACCTCGAAACCCGAGGGGAACGACCTATATCCCCATCTAGGGGGGTAAATCGGCCAGTGGGGCCCAGGCCACGGCGCTGGGAATGGGGATCGGTTCAACGATGCTCAAGATAGGCTCATAGCGGAGGGGGGGACCCAGACCTGCTCGCGTCCTGAAGGAGAGATCACGATGGGAGATGCTCGTCAATTTGCTGCGTCTGGCGGGCCTCACGATGATGGGCCTGTTTTCCACCACCACCACCATAAGTTGGAGGAGGGAAGGAGGACGAAGAGGAGGAGGAGGAGGAGGAGGAGGAGGAGGAGGAGGTTAGACGCTGCTCAGAGCGAGAAACGCAGAAACGCAGGAGGAGGAGGAGGAGGAGGAGGAGGAGGAGGAGGAGGAGGAGGAGGACCCCCTCGCCCTCCAACTTCTGGTGGTGGTGGTGGAAGACAGGCCCATATATCACGAGGCCTGAGACCGTCAAGAGGACGACTCCGTGGATGAACGAAGCCGGCCTCCGGGAAGGGGTCGGCCAGACCTCTGGGGGATCCACGTCGTGAAGAGAGCATGCCGTCAGAGTCAGGTCATCGCGGACATGGATGAAGGGGGCGTGGATTAGCGACGGGTCCCGTTTCCGTGGGGGATCGCGGAGTTCTGCCGCCGAGCGAGGCGGCACTGGCTGCATTTTGGGGAGGGCCCCTCCCCCAGTCCATGGATTTGGCGACCGCGCGCCGAATCCATTAATCGCTAATCCATGTTTGCGCGCCCCCGACAGAGGTCTGAGGAGGAGGACGAGCAGGAGGAGAAGGACCAGTGAAAACCCAAGAGTCATCAACGATGTTTAATATAAACCCTCCCTCCAAGCTCCCTCTTCGTGGGCCCCTACAACCGTTCACGTACACTGAGGAAACCGCCTCGTTGGAAGACAACAGTTTGAAGACCCTGAAGCATGCCAAAAACATTGCTCTCGGGAGTCCAGCGTCACGGGCCAACCCGACTTTTGCGTCTTGGCGACCCCGAATCTTGCCAGAACGCCATGCCTGGGGCTTCACCACCGCGAATCAACATAACTCTTGCGCCCGCATGATCCCGAATCCTTTCAAAACACCGCTTCTGGTACCTTGATGACCGGAATCCGTGAAGCTCCTGCACATGTTGTAACATAATGTGCGCGGCGAAAAGGCGAGAGCCACACGCTGAAACGGAACCGCCCTCAATCCGTGAAGCTCTTCCGCATTTTCAAAACGAATGTGCGCCGCGCTAAGGCGAGAGCCATACACCCTAGGCGATGCTTAAGAAAACTGAAATTTTCGGCCAGAGTCTCGATTATTCCTAACGTTTCAATGTAAGTCTTAAGATTTTAATGGGAATGTTTGGTTTTTTATTCAAGTTCTGAGACTATGAATTTCTTAACCCATGATTTCTTAAGCATTTCGCAGGGTGTATGTTGAAAACCACTTGCCTTTAATCCGTGAAACTTTTACAAATGTTAAAAAAAAAACGAATGTGCACCGCGCCAAGGCTAGAGCCACATGTTGAAAACCACCGGCCGTCAATCCGTGAAACTCTTGCAACTTGTTAAAACGAATGTGCGCCGCGCTCAGGCTAGAGCCACATGTTGAAACCCACTCGCCCTCAATCCGTGAAACTCTTGCAAATGTTCAAAACGAGTGTGCGCCGCGCTAAGGGGAGATCCACATTTTGGAAACCACCCGCCCTCAATCTGTGAAACTGTTGCCATTCTTAAGCTTCATAATCGTAAGACGTGAGGAAGTCTCAGCTGAAACGCCGGGCCCGCCCTAAAACTGGTCTCGCGGTGCGACTGGGAGAATTCATTTATGAGGAAAAGAAATGGAGGGGGAGGGGGAGGAGGAGGAGGAGGAGGAGGAGGAGGAGGAGGAGGAGGAGGAGGAGGAGAGGAGGAGGGGGGAACGAGGAGACGAGGAGGAGGATGAGGACGAGGAGGAGGAGGACGAGGAGGAGGAGGACGAAGAGGGCGAGGAGGATGACGAGGACGAGGGGGAGGAGGAGGAGGAGGAGGAGGAGGATGTGAGGTGGAGCAGGACGAGGAGGAGGAGACGAGGAGGAGGAGGAGGAGGAGAGGAGGAGGAGGAGGGGACGAAGGAGGAGGGGAGGAGGAGAGGGGGAGGAGGAGGTCGAGGAGGAGGAGGAGGAGCCAGTCCAGGGGGAGGAGTAGGAGGAGGAGGAGGAGGAGGAGGAGGAGGAGGAGGAGGAGAAGGAGGAGGAGGGATGATGAGGAATAGGAAAAGGTTCAGGAAGATGTTCGAGAAGGAGGACTAGGATGGAGAGGAGGATGAGGAGGAGGAGGATGATGAGGAGGAGGAGGGAGAATGGAGGATGGGAACAGGGATGGGGAGGCATGGGGAAGGACAAGCTAGGTGCGCCCACGCCATATTTGACATCTACCCCTCCTACCCATCCCTTCCATCGCGCTGCTGTTTCTGTTAGCCGACGGGTGTCAAAGCAGATCTGGACCCCCCTCCAAGTGACCCCATCGCGTTATGCGCAAGCAGGAGGGAGAGCTGAATATATTGTAGGAGGTGGAGGAGGAGGTGGCGGATGAGCATGATGATGAGCAGGAGGATGTGAAAGGAGGTGGAGGAGGACAACGAACAGCCGCAACAGTAGGAGCAGGGGCAGGAGGAGCGGGAGGAGCTAACTGGAGGACTGGGGGAGGGCGGAGGAGGGACAAGGGGGGCGACAACGACGAAGGACTCCGATCCAGAAATCGGGCTTGCGCTTGGGCGAGAGCTTCATTCAGAACGACGGGCGCAAAGCGCCGATCTTGAAATGAGGCCAACGCTGCAGTGGGAGCACTATGCAGGACCACCGAAAACGATCGGATTGGAAGCACACGTGTTGAGACACATCAACTTTTGAAGTCGTGTGTACAAATCCATGTGCAAAGCGGGCGGGATTTCTTCTGGACAGAGTCTGGGGGGAGAGGACCACAGAGTCGGGGGAGAGAGAGGAGTATTATGCATGCGAAATAATCTGGAAGGGGATGGGTAAATGGTGGAGCGTGGAAGAGGAAGATGAGGATCAGCGGCAGGTTGGCTTTGGACCCTTCCCTGGGTATCATGATATGCCAGATCATACCAAGCACCCAGTTGAGTTTGTAGTCCCCATGTGGGGGCCAGCTTTGTGTGTAGGCTTGTCGGGGGGCCCTCGGCGCCACTTGGGAAGGAAAGCGACGTGCTATGCGATCGATGAGGGTGTGGAGGAGGAAGAGGCGGAAGAGGGTGGGGATAGATCTTCCTCTGCACAGCTCGTCATTTCCCGGCTCTGCGGCTGGCGTGGAGCTCTCACCGCGCAGCCTCACCCGCCACCTGCCGCGGGCGAGGTCCCCACTGCGGATCCTCGACTTTGTTCCGCCACCCTATCCCTCCACCCCCCCCCCTCCTCATCCGATTGCTCCTCCTTCCCCCTCCTCCCCCCCGTGTCTCCTCCCTCTCTCCTCGCCCGCTGCCGCGGGATGGCAGCAGCACGCGTGCGTGCGTCGTCGTGCCGTCCTGCTCCGCTCTGGCCCACAGGGTCGTGCTCGCAGCTCCGCCGGCTCCCCATCGGACGGGGCCAGAACGAGGATAAGTCCGTTCTAGAGCGTTCCGGAGCGCTCTCAGAGCGTTCCTGCACGCTCTGAGAGGGCCGCGGCGCCTGACACATCCTCCAGAGCCGCCAGATCTCAGAGATCCTCGATTCATCCTCAACCGATTTGACCCTCGTTCTGGCCTCGTACTGCCAGGCACGTTCCCGCACCTGCTGCTGAGCGGGCCGCCGGGCTGCGGCAAGACCACCGTGGTTCATTGCCTGGCGCGCGAGCACCTGGGCAGCGACTACGACGTGGGCTGCATCGAGCTGAATGCGTCCGACGACAGAGGCGCGCGGTCACGAGGCGGAGGAAGCCATGAGGCTACAGAGACCTCGAGATTTCCGAGGGGGAGGACGAGGAGGACGAGGAGGAGGAGGAGGCGTGCTTTCGGGCCCCCGTTCGGGGCGCACATCACGAGGGTCAGCGCTTTCGGGGGTCCGCCAGTTCTCCCTGGCCGACTTGGGTTTGGCAGCCGCGTGGGGCCGATCCCCCTTGTCTTCCCTGTGCTGACCTTGGCTTGGTAAATTCCAGGCGGCCAGCCAGGCTGCGCGACAGGGCCCGGGCCGACCCGGGCTTGGGCTGACCCGGGTCAGTGCGCCGCCGATCAGTCGAACGGACACGAGTTTGGACGAGACCGCGATCGGGGTGCGTCAGCTTCTTCGTGAATCAAACTTGCAGCACCGAGGCACGGCATTTGCCGAGGAAGAGATCGCGGGGAAGGAGTCGAGAGCTCCAGAGCACCGAGGCCTTAACGGATCAGGTTCTCGCAGGTCGGGGGATGGAGGAGGGCCAGGGGGACCAGGAAGAGGAGGAGGAGGAGGAGGAAAAAGAGGAGGAGGACGGTGAGGACGAGGAGGAGGAGGAGGAGGAGGAGGAGGAGGGCGATGAGGATTAGGAGGAGGAGGAGGACGAGGGCGAGGAGGACTAGGAGGAGGAGGACGAGGGCGGGGGAGGGGGAGATGGGGGAGGCGGAGAGGTCCACGGAGCAGGACGGATGAGGAAGAGAGAGCCAGAGGCCACTTGGAAGATGGTGGGATGGGGTGTGCGAGGAGGGAGCATCTAGCGCGCCCCACTGATGCCCTATCGCCGGAGCAGTAACCTCTGCTCAGCCGCCGACGCAAAAAGCGAGAAGGGAGCTGGAGGCAGGAGGGAAGAAAAAGGAGGAGGAAGAGCAGGACGAGAAAGGGGGAGTGGAGGAGGGCGCGGATGTGATGGAACATGGGAAGAAGGGGGCGGGGAGGAGGCGGCGGCGGTGGAGGAGTGAGATGGAGTGCTGGCTGATGAGCAGGAGCATATGCTATGAGTAGTAGGCGAAAACCAGCAGGAGTGGAGGATGAGCCAGAGGAGGTGAGGAGAGGCGGATGATGTTGATGATGGTGCTGGTGATGATGTTGATGTTGATGATGATGGTCATGATGCGTATGCTGATGTTGTTGATGAGGATGAGGGTGCTGATGATGCTGATGATGATGGCGGTGCTGATGATAATTGTGGCACCGATGGTGATTGTGATACCGACGATTCTGCTGCTGATGATGGTGCTGGTACTGCTGAATATGATGATGATGAGGCTGACGACGATGATGATGAAGATGATGATGATGACGGTGCTGATGTTGACGATGATGATGCGGGTTGTGATGGTGATGATGGTGATGGTGACGATGCTGCTGATGATGATGGTGACGTTGTTGATAATGATGCTGCAGGTTATGCTTATGATTATGATGATGTTGATGCCGATGCTCATGCTAATGCTGCTGATGATGCTGACAGTGGCGAATGCTGATGATGATGAACATGATGATGATGATGATGATGATGATGATGATGATGATGATGATGATGATGATGATGATGATGGTGATGATGATGATGATGATGATGCTGATGATGATGATGATGATGATGATGATGCTGATGATGATGATGATGCTGCTGATGATGATGATGTTGATGATGATTCTCATGATAATGGTGATGGTTATTCCCGGAAAGGGCGTACGCCCAGGGTTCTCTTTTAGTATTGTTACCCCCACATTCGATTTGAAGGAGGCAGGCGGAACTTGTTTTGCGATAAATGACGGGTTTGAAGGAGGCCGGCGGAACTATTTGTGAGGATGTCTCGAGCGAAACGCTTGTGTTTCAGAATATGTTGAGGATGTCTCGAACGAAACGCTGGTTTTGCAGAGTTGGGGGTGTCTCGAGCGCAACGTTTGTTTTTCATAATTTGTTGAGGATCTCTCAAGCGAAACGCTGGTTTTGGTTTTGCAGAGTTGTGGTATCTACCATGGCGTCGGGCCCAACGCAGAATTATGATGAAACGCGGGGGGGCCGAAAAGCGCTACCCGAACACATGTCCCAATACAGAAAAGTGATGGTTTCTTGCTCTGAACAGGGGGTTGCACTTTGGGGGCCTCTCCAGGGAAGACATTGCGAGGATGTCTCGAGCGGGAGCGCGAATTCAGCGTATCCAGGTCACGCAGGGGGGTATCTAACATGGCTGTCTCGAGCTGGAACCACGTGTTTTTTCATGCTCAGGCCACCCAGGGGGCGTGTTTTTACGTGTCCAGGCCACCAGCACGACGCTTGTCCCCAGCACGTTCTGTAGCGCGTCCCCTTGGCACGTCCCGCGGTGCATCCCCGTGGCACGTCCCCTGGCACGTCGCCTGGCCCGTCCCTTGGAATGTTCCGCAGCGCGTCTTCCTGGCATGTTCCCTTGTCAATCAGCTCTGGGGCAGCTATTATGTGGACTATTTGCTCAGGCAGCTCGAGCTTAAGATCCAGGTCGGTCAGGACTCGGATGCAACGGAGGATTCGATCCTCAACACTTCAGAGCACAATCGCGGCATGGCACATCGCAGTACAGCACGACTCAGCACAGCACAGCCCTCGGCACGGTACATCAAGATCGATACACTGATTCAGCATTGCGATCTGGCACGTTCCGTGGCGCGTCCTGTGGCGAGTCCCCTTGGCACGTCGCGCGGCGCGTCCCCTGGCACGTCCCGTGGCACGTCCATTGGCACGTTCCGTAGCGTGTCCCCTCGGCACGTCCCGCGGTGCGTCCCCTATGGCACGCCCCCTGGCACGTCTCTGGCGCGTCCTTTGGGACGTTCCGCGGCGCGTCCTCCTGGCATGTTCCCCTGTCAATCAGTTCTGGAACAGCTACTAGTTATGTGCTCAGGCAGCTAGAGCTTAAGATCCAGATCAGTTCGGTCAGGACTCAGATGCAAAGGAGGACTCGATCCACAAAGCTATAGAGCACAATCGTGGCATGGCACATCGCAATTCAGCACAGCGCTGCACAGCACAGCCCTCGGCACGGTACACCAAGATCGATACATTGAGCATTGCAGTTGCCCGTCGCCCAATCAGGTGTCTTTGAAACGTTCCCATGCTTTACATTTCTAGAATCCTTTCTGGGTTCGTGGGTCGATATGTTTTTGGTGGTGGTGGTGGTGGTGGTGAGAAGGAGGAGGCAGATTCACCGAATGACGGTGGAGAACAAGGATTGTTATTTCAGTCAGAGTGGTGGGGCCGAACGGGCATTCACTGTCCCTGGGTGCTTGGCTGAAGCGGGTTTCCACGGGGCGAATTGTTGCTGCTGCTGTTGTTGTCATTGGTACTGATATTCTTGCTGTTGGTGGTGTTGTTGTCCTTGTCGGTATCGCTGTTGTTGTTGTTGTTGTTGTTGTTGCTGTTGTTGTTGGTGTTGTTGTTATTGTTGTTGTTGTTGTTGTTGTTGTTGTTGTTGTTCTTCTTCTTGCTTGGTGTGTGTTGTCGTCGTCCCGCTCGCGACCCGGCCCGCGACCCACCCGCGACCCACCCGCGACCCTCCCGCGACACACGCGCGAGCCACCCGCGACCAACCCCGCGACCCACGCGCGACCTAGCCGCGACCCACCCGCGACCCACCCGCGACCCAACCGCCACCCACCCGCGACCCACCCCGCGACCCACCCGCGACTCGCCCGCGACCCACCCGCGACCCAACCCGCGCCCGCCCCCCCACTCTTACCCGTAACTGCTGGGTGCTACATCATCATTCGCACGTTGGGCCCACAGGGAGGAGACGGGAGATACTGATGAGGAGTGGTATTGTAGGCATCGACGTCGTTCGTGAGAAGATCAAGGGGTTCGCGCAGCAGAAGGTCACGCTGCCGGAGGGCAAGCTCAAGATCATCATTCTCGACGAGGTGGGCGAGGAGGAGGAGGAGGAGGAGGAGGAGGAGGAGGGCCGCCGCATTCGATCCATACTCCGAGGCCAACAGCGACAGCGACAGTTGGAGGAGCACGAGGATGGGGTTGCGTTGCCATACATTCTCGGAGCTCCGCGCGGATCTCTTGGATCAGCCTTGGGCCCCCCACCCCCCTGGCGCGCGGAGCATGCCAGGGGCGGCGCTGGAGGCGCCGACAGGCCGACAGGGGGACCCAGCGCCCAGCCGAGAAGTCTGGGCGCACATTGATGAGCCATTGTTCCACCACCACTAGCAGAGGTAGGACGGGGGAGAATGGAGGATGGGGAGGTGCTCCTCCTCCTCGTCCTCCTCCTCCTCCTCCTCCTCCCTCTCCTGCCTACGGCAATGGTGGTGGAATACCTGCCCATGCGACATCCCAACGTCTATGTTCATATGTTCACACTTGTGTCTGACCCGGCCAGATAGTCGTGCCTGCACTCGCGCTTATCTACGCCGCGCCGCAGCGCGCGTGGCCGCAGTGCCAAGCGTGCGTGTTTACGCGTGTGCTCGACGCGCATGCTCTGAAGGCGGGGGCCGATGACGCTTGGATTGTCCGGTCCAAAGATTCAGAGGAGGGAATCATACCGATACTGATACCCTTCCGTCTTTTTCGCCTTTTCCCGGAAGGGGCTCGGGCGCAGTGTTCTCTTTCAGATGTTTACCCCCCGGAATCGACTTGAAGCGGGCTGGCGGATTCGTTCTTGATGTAAGACGAAGTAAATCCCATTCGGCGTGGAAGAAATGCGTTTCGCGCTAGCCCGCTCGAGGAAAATTCGCCCCCCATGTCGGATCCTCGGTTAAGTAACGAGGTCCGTTGACCCTCGCTTTCCCTTAAACAACGGTGTGCGGAGCGTTTATCGCAGAATCCTCGATAAATAGTTTATCGAGGTTCGGAGACAATACGATTTTACAACAAATGTGGAGCAGTTCACTTTTTTGCATGTCCGCTCGAGGATGGCGCGTCCTGTGCGCAGGAATTTCGAGGATGCCTCCAGCCCCGCTCTTGTTTTGCAGAAGGAAGGTTTGCTTTTTGCGTGCCCGCTCGAGGATGGCGCACCCTGCGATGGCTCAGGTGAAAGGCGTGTTCTGCAGCGCTTGAAAGGCCTGGGCGCCCCAGGAGGCCCAGGTGATTCTTGGAGTGCTGTCGGACCGTTATTTACGAGGGATCGTGGTCCTGGTCCTGGAGGCGCGAACCCAGCGTAATGTACGAGTGGTCGCCAAATCAGTTCGGCCACGATTATGACGCCAAGGACGGCTTGATTCACAATGCAATAGGGCGCGGCCACTGTTCAACGCGGCATGGCACGTTGAACTCAGCACAGCACGGCAGTCAAGCACAGCCCGTGGTACGGGACATCACGATCGTTATTTTGAGCACTGCAATTGCCCGTCGCCCAAGTCTGACGTCTTGAACACGATACCATTCTTCACATTTCCCACATCCCATTCCGGGTTCGTGGGTCGATCGTGTTGCAAACATGCATTTCGCGCTTGCCCGCTCGAGGAACATGTGTTCCCTACCTCGGATCCTCGATACATACGTGGTCCGCACACACACGTCTTCCAATGGAACAAAAACTGTGTGCGGAGTGTTTTGCGCAGAAAAACTGTAAACATGAGGTCTGGAGGCATTGCAGCTTATTTGAACATGGGGCACAGCAGACGTTTCGCGTGCCCGCCCGAGGATGGCGCGCCCTGCGCGCCGAAGACCTGTGATAATGTCTTAGGCGAGACACTTGTTTTGCAGCGCTTGAAAGGCCTGGGCGCCCCAGGATGTCCGGGTGGTCCTGGGAGCCCGAACGCAATGTAATTCACTGGGGGATGTGGCCCTGGGAGCGCGGACACTGCGGCGTGATCCACGAGGGAGCGCGGCCCTTGGAGCGCGGACGCAGCGTAGTCAACTAGGGATCGTGCCCCTGGGGGAGCGGACGCAGTGCACTTTGAGAGGGACCGTGGCCCCGGGAGCGCAGACGAGGCGCGATTTACCAGGGATCCTTGTCCTTGGGGGGGCGGACGCAGCTGCAGTTTTAGCAGGGGCCCTGCCCTTTGGGGGGGCGGACCCAGTCGAGTTGGCAACGGATCGTGGCCCTGGGAGCGCAGACGCAGCGTAATTCACAGGGGATCGTGGCCCTGAGGGCGCGAACCCAGCGTGATTCAGGATGGATTGTTGCCCTCGGAGCGCGAACCCACTGTGATTTACGGGGGGGCGTGGCCGGAGCGCGAAGCCTGCGTGAGTTTCGAAGGATCGCGGCCCTGGGAGCGCGAAGCCAGCCTGACTTTCAAGGGGCCGCGGCCTCGAGAGCGTGACTCCCGCGCACTGATCGCGGCCGTGGGAGCGCGGAAGCCGCGTGATTTACGAGGGGTCGTTGCCTCGGGAGGGCGGACGCAGCGTAGTTTACGAGTGACCGTGGCCCAGGGAGAGCGGACGCAGCGAAATTTACCAGAGACCGTGGCCTTGAGAACGCGGTCCCGTCGTCATGGCTTCGTTCATGGGTCCGCCGTACGTTGCCCCTTTCTGATTCCGCTGTGTCTGGGGGGGGGCAGAGCCGGGGGGAGGCAAGCCGCGTTTCTGTGGAGCAGAAAAGAGGGTTCGCTTGGGAGCGCAGCATCACTTATTGGTGATCGTGACGCTGGGAGTGCGGGCCCATCGGGATTTACGATGGACCGTAGCCCAGAGAGCGCGGACGCAGCGTACTGTGCGAGGGATCGCGCGGCCTTACATCTCGACGAACATCGCAGCGCGAAGATCCCAGGAGGCTCCAGGTGATCCGCAGCGCGTCCCTTGCAGCACGTTCCCTGACGCGTTCCCTGACACGTCCCCTGGCGCGTCGCCTGGCACGTTCCCTCGCACGTTCCGTGGCGCGTCCTGTGGCGAGTCCCCCTGGCACGTCGCGCGGCCTGTCCTCTGGCACGTCCCGTGGCACGTCCACAGGGACGTTCCGTAGCGCGTTCCCTTGGCACGTCCCGCGGTGCGTCCCCATGGCACGTCCCCTGGCACGTCCCCTGGCGCGTCCCTTGGGACGTTCCGCGGCGCGTCCCCCTGGCATGTTCCCCCTGGCATCGCCCACTTGCATCTGCAATTGAGGTCCTCAGAAATAATTCCATGGGTCGCAGTTCTCAATCCCTTTCCGGGTTCGTGGGTCGGTCAAGGTTGGACCTCTTGTGGGGCCCTCGTCGCCACGGCTGAATTCGCCTCCGAATCTTTGTCAGGACGCACCTCGCGAGAGGTCTGCGGAGTAGTGGTATCGGTACCTCTTGGTTTCCCCAACATTATTGTTTGTCGAGCCCAGGAAATACAAGTAAGATGCCCATAGATCTGCAGGTCAATGTATGCGTTTTCTTAAACCGGCGACAACAATATGTTTGGGGGTAACTAAATTATGTAGTCGGCCTCCCACTCGAGCTTGAAGAGAAACCAATTTCGGCGGCAAGCTCAAGGGGAAGCGTTAGAAGGGGGTAGGCCTCCACAGAGGGCGGCGGGGCTCCTCAGAAGCCCTCGCGCCTTCTGAGAAGTCTGCTGTGTGTTCGGGGACGGCTCGGACAACCTCTTAGAAGGCCCGAGGCCTTCCGCGTCTTCTGAAAGGGCCCGCCCACTCTGCTCTGGGCCTCCCAGATGGAGCCCGAGCAGGTGGGGTCAGAGCATCGCGCCGCATCGCCGATTCGTCGGCGATGCGGCCCGATGTGGAGCCCGCTCTTCTCCACGCCGACGTCGCCGATGCATCGGCGGTGCGGCGCGATCCTCCGACCCCATCTGCTCTGCCTCCCACCTGGGAGGCCTCCACCCCTGACTTCTCCCTGGGCCTGCCGCCGAGCTCTGCGCACGCGTGCAAGACCAAGACCCTGTCGGAGCTCCGCCGCGGACCTCCCCGGAGACTGGGCGCCCACGCCGCCGTCGGGTCCGCCCCCCCCCCCGGTGCCGCGCGCGCCCCGCGCGCGCGCTCGGGGGGCGCGGGGGGCACGGCGCCAGCCTCGGGAGGCCTGCGCGGAGCCCCGACAGTTGGCAGGGCATCGGCCACCGCCGTCCAGCAGCATCCGCGATGCTCGACCTCCGTCGTTCGGCAGCGCTCGCCCGCGCGCTGCCCTCGCTCACTTCGCGAGGAGAAGGCACGCGCCGGGCCCCCGGGCACCACGAGCGCCCGCGCAGGGCAGGCCAGGCCTCAGAGCCGCGAAGCTCCGATCCTCCTCCTCCTCCTCCTCCTCGATCCTCGTCCTCCTCCTCCTCCTCCTCCTCCTCCTCCTTCTCCTCCTCTCCTCCTCCTCCTCCTCCTCCTCCTCCTCCTCCTCCCTCCTCCTCCTCCTCCTCCTCCTCCTCCTCCTCCTCCTCCTCCTCCTCCCCCCCCCTCCCCCCAGCCCTGCTCCCCCCCGGGGGGCGCGGATGAGCCACGGGCCCCGCTTCCGTGGGGACTCGCGGTTTCCCGCCGCCGAGCGAGGCGGCGCCGGCCGCATCTCGGGGAGGGCGCCCCCCCCCGAGCCGTCGATGTGGCGACCGCGCGCCGAAGCCGCGGATCGCGGATGCATGCCTGCGCGCCCCCGAAGTGCAGGTTTGTCCAGGTGCCTTCCCCGCTGCCTTCTGGGCGAGGGCGGGTCCTTCGGGCCCCTCGCTCTCCCCATCGCTGATCGAAGCCTGCGCGTTCCCCCCCCCGTAGCGGCGAGCGGCGCTGGGGAGAAGGAGGAGGGCGACGGCGACGAGCAAGCAATAGGGGGCCACATGCCAACCCTACCCCTACCCCGATTTCTGAGGGGGAGGGTGGGGTTCACTTCATTCGTGGGGGGTAGGGGTAAAGTTTGCATGTGGCCCCCTAAGCGAGCAAGCGCCCCGACGAGGCGGACAGCATGACCACGGCCGCGCAGCAGGCCATGAGGAGGACCATGGAGATGTTCAGCGCCACGACCCGCTTCGCCCTGGCCTGCAACATCTCCTCGAAGATCATCGAGCCCATCCAGTCGCGGTGCGCCATACTGCGCTTCTGGGGGAACGAACAATGACACAAGCATAAACACTAGGAGGTCCGCGCGGACTTCTCTCGGATCCGCGCTGGGGCCCCCTGGCGGCGCCTCTGGGGCCGCTCCGTGCGCCAGGAAGGCGGGTCAAGTGCCGAACCGAGGAATCCGCGCGGACCTCCGAGTTTTTGTGTTGACGTCATTGTTCTTTCCCCTAGCTTCGGTCGCATCGACGACGCGGAGCTCAAGGCGCGCCTGACCAAGATCCTGGAGAAGGAGTCCGCCCCCTACGACGACTCTGGCGTCGATGCGATTGCGTTCTCAGCAGAAGGCGGCCTTGTCCCTGGCTGGGATCGCAGTGGACAGGAGGAGGAGGAGGAGGAGGAGGAGGAGGAGGAGCATGGGAAACAGGAGGAGGCGGAGGAGGAGGAGCGTGAGGGCGGGGATCAGTCTTTGTGTATCTGCTGAGGCGACATGCGAAACGCACTGAATGGCGCCCAGTCCACCTTCAACGCGTTCGGCAAGATCAGCCGCGAGACGGTATTCCGGATGAACGACCAGCCTCAGCCCGAAAAGGTGAGGGGTTGCTTGAGCGGCTGCCTTCAGAAGGACTGGGCAGCAGCCTTCGCCCCGATCCACGAGATCTTCAAGCAGGCCTCTCGCCTCGTGTTATCTTCCTCCCTTCGCATTCCTCCTCCTACTCTTGCCCATCCTCTTCTGCAGGGGTACAGCTCCCTGGACATCATAGCAACGCTGTCGAGAGTCACGAAGAGCTACGACGCGCCAGAACACGTGAAGCTGGAGCTCGTGGCCCGCAGCCTTGCGGGTTTGGGCATAATTTCAGCCTTTCTCCTCCTTCGCTCATCCACCCGCCTTCCCTCCACCATATTCTCCCCCCCCCGCCATCCTCTGTCCTCTCCCCCTCTCCACTTGTTCCCTTGTCCATTCCTCCTCATCCTCTCCTTTTCCACTTCCTCGATCCTCCCCCCCCCCCTCCTCGCTCCTCCGTATCGCCCCTCCCCCCCCGCACGCCAAATCCATGTGGCCGTGTGCGGGCACTTGTCGCGCAGATTCCCTTCTCTATCTTCGAATTTTCCTTCTGATGGGCTGCTTGTCCACCAACACTACCAGGAGGAGGAGGAGGAGGAGGAGGAGGAGGAGGAGGAGGAGGAGCAGTGCAAACCCAAGAGTCATCAACGATGTTGGAATAAACCCTCCCTTTAAGCTCCCTCTTCATAGACCTCTACAAGGGTTCATTTCCTCTGAGGGAACTGCCTCTTTCGAAGACAATTGAAGACCCGGAGGCAGTCCAAAACATTGCTCGCGGGGTTCCAACGCCACGGATCAACGTGGCTGTTGCGTCTTGACGACCCTGAATCGTGCCAGAACGCCATCCCTGGGACTTCAACACTGCGAATCAAGGTAACTGTGGAACCCGTGAAACCCTCACAACTTTTGTGAAACGAATGCTCGCGGCGCTAAGGCGAGAGCCACATGTTCAAAAGGAGCCGCCCTCAATCCGTGAAGCTCTTGCAAATGTTTAAAACGAATGTACGTGGCGCTAAGGCGAGAGCCACTCTTTGAAAACTGTTGGCCCTCAATCCGTGAAGCTCTTGCAGTTTTTGAAAAAGAATGTACGCGGCGCTAAGGCGAGAGCCACTCTTTGAAAACCAACCGCCCTCAATCCGTGAATCTCTTGCAAATGTTTAAAGCCAATGTGCGCGGCGCTAAAGCATGAGCCACATGTTGAAAACGACCCGCCCTCCATCTGTAAAACTGTTGTCAGTTTTCAAGCGTCAGGGTCATACATGGTGAGGAAGTCTCAGGCGAAACGCCCAGACCGCCCTAAAAACTGGCCTCATGGTTCGACAGGGAGAAGTTATTTACAAGGAGAAAAAATGGAGGAGAAGGAGGAGGAGTAGGAGGAGGAGTAGGAGGAGGGGGGGAGGAGGAGGAGGAGGAGTGGGAGGAGGAGGAGGAGGAAGGGAGCCCTGGAATCACGCCGTGAGAGTACGCTGTGAGAGGACGCTGTGAGAGCACGCTGTGAGAGCACGCTGTGAGTGCACGCTGTGAGGGCACGCGGTGAGAGCACGCTGTGTGTGCACGCTGCGCATCCAGCCCATAAGCATTTGAAGATTGCATCGTGCCTACAGCGTGCACTCACAGCGTGCACTCACGTTCTTCATCAGCCGGCGAGCAGCGAGCACTCACAGCGTGCACTCACGGCTTGAGGGTCACGCTGCAAGTGTTGCGGAGTGCGCGCGCCATGAGTGCGCGCCGCAAAGTGAGTGCGCGCTGTGAGAGCACGCTGTGGTTGAGCACACGCTGTGAGTGCACGCTGTGAGAGCACGCTGTGAATGCACGCTGCACACTCGCACACACACACACAACACTGTAGAAGAAACCGAACCGGGACGCGCGGAAACAAATCCAGCGCGTACTTGAAGACTGCTGTGGTTGAGCGCACTCTGTGAGTGCACGCTGTGGTTGAATGCGCGCTGTGGTTGAGCGCGCGCTGTGGTGGAGCGCACGCCGTAGTTGAGTGTACGCTGTGGTTGAGCGCAGGCTGTGGGCGCACGACGCAAACACTACAGCACAACACCACACCACACCACACCACACCACACCACCACCACCACACCAACACCACCACCACAACCACAGCAACCACCCCCAACAACAACCCGAGCACACACACATCGACACAACACGCACACACACACAAACACAGAAACACACAAACGCACAAACACATCAACACACAACCCACACACAACCCACACACAGCACACAACACACACCACACGCAACACACACAACACACAAACACGCAAACACACACAAGCACACACAACACACAAGCATACAAACACACAAACCCACACATACACAAACATAACACACACAAACACTCACACAAACACACAAACACACACCACACAAACACACCAACACACAAACAAAACCCAGAAACACAAACACGAACACACACAATCACACAAACACATAATTCACAAACGCACAAACACACAAACACAAACCAAGTAAACAAACACAAACCAGACACACCCACACCAAACACACAAATCAACACAAGCACACAAACACACAAACACACCAAGCACACACACAACATCAATCACAACCACAATCACACACAACCACAAACACAAACACAAACACAAACACGCAGACACAAACATAACCACAACCACAAACACAAACACAACACACATCCACAAGCACACACGCACTCACACCGAGAGGCCGCAGAGAGGTGCAGGAGACGCATCTTCGAGGCTTCTTCGAGGCTTCTGGGAGGCATATGAGAGGTTCAACAGCGTGCGCTCAACCACAGCGTGCGCTCAACAGCGCGCGCTCAATCACTCACGCTTAAGCGCAGGGCCACTCACCGTTACGATCTACTCTCGGCGCCGCCGGCCCGCGTAAATATTACATGTTGTCCCCCATCTTGGGGACAGCGTGCATGGGGGAAGACGCCCTGGCAGGGGGATTGCCTGACACGGAGGAAGCTTTGTTTTTGGGGATGACGTGCTTTTCGGAGATCGGTGTTGCACGCTATCTTTGCAACACCATCCGTACTTCGTGCCCCACACATAACCCCCAGGAGTGGCTGAAGGAGATCGGCCTGGCGCACATGCGTATCAGCTCTGGCGCGGGTGGTCTTCTCCAGCTGAACGCGCTGGTGCACACGGGGACCAGAAAGCAGCGGGCATGCCTGCAACCAGGATGCGGCGGGGACGCGCATCAAAATGACGGAATGCTTTCTGTCAGGGTACCCAAGGTTTCTTCGCTCCGCGCGCTGCGCGGTGGCTTCCCCTGGCCGTTGAAGGAGCTGCTGCGTTCAGGGTGCTTTGGTTTCCCCCCGCTTGCGTCTCTCCTGAGATCCGACGTTTCGAAAACTTGGAACACCACGAGAAAGCACGACCAGAGCCCGACCCGTTCTTTCTGCGTCAAAGATCTCAGGGTCGCGTTTGCGGGTTTTCAGGGCCAGGTTCCTTGCGAGGGTTTCTTGCGGCCGCGTCCGCATTGCAAATCGCTCCAGAGCAAGCGGTCTCCGAGCGTTCTGGAGCGGCCTGGGCGTCCGATGCAGCTTCCAGTCCAGCCGTCGCTCGGAGATCCAGAGTATTCCTTGCCCGATATTGATGTTGGTTTTCCTTCGGTCGGACCGAGGTGTAAGATCGAAGTCAGTTCGGGGAGGGTGCCCCAAATGTTCTTCGTGTTTGCTGGATGCTCTTGTGCATCTTTGGGGAGGGTACCCTCGAATGTTCTTCAGTTTGGCTGGCGGAGGGTCTCATGTTCTTGAAGGATGTTCTTCTGTCCTAGGTCCGCCTGTACGCTCTAGAAGAGGAACCACTTTAGTTGCATCCACGATCACACCTGCGACGTGGTGATCCCCCACCCCGCAGGAAGGGCTGTCAGGTTTCCAGGACCCCATAATTAATTGGGCACTCTGATTAGCTAGGACCTGGCGCGCCCAAGGATGCTGCAGCCGCGAGTCGAGAAACATTCTGTATCGTTCGTTCTCTCCAGGTGGAATTTTCAAAGTCCCGGTCAGCAATGTCCTGCCTTAGGTCGGGAGCCTCGAGACGGAGGTCAATGCAAACGGGGGTCAGCCAGGGCACTGGATCCTGCAGGATCCTGCGGAGGCCCCCTCTGGCTGACCCGGGTTAGCGAGCCGCTCGTGGCCGCGAGGCGGCCGCGCATATTGGCTGACCCGGGTTTGCGAGGACCTGCGTTGCAGTTTTTGTTCCTGCATTGCAGTTTTTTGGTTTCTTGCTGACCCGGGTTTGGATTGACCCGGGTCAGAAGATCCCCGACTAGGGGGCCCCGCGGCTTCATTAGAGGAAGCCCCCCGCCCATCCCGCCCGCTCCCGTGTCCCGTCTGTCGCCGTCGACGACTGGCGACAGAAGCGCACCACATACGCAAATATCAAGCAGGAGGCCAGCCATGATAATGACAGGCTGGCATGGCAGGCGGACGCAGCGTGAAAGAGTGGCGCGTGTTCACGCTTATGCCTCATGAGCGTGCACATCATGTATGAGCGGCATGCCGAGGCCAATGTGCGTGTGAACGGCGGATCACGTTCACGAAGGAAGAAACTCCGGGGAGCACACGTTCGAAGCTGGACGCAGCAAGTACACGCAGGCAAGAAATCATCAGCATACATGCGGCGTGCACTACAGGCAAGTGTTACAATACATTGTCGCTGTTCGCCGATGCGGAGCGACACTCTT